TTGTCCAGGAGGTGATTGCTTATAGAATCACTAATAGGTGTGAAACACTGAGGTCCTTAATATTGACTTTGGTGTAAATCTGAATCTGATAAGGAGAGAAAATACTGAAATGTATTACCAGTTCTTTGCATCACAGCCATGTCTAGGAGCCCTTCTCGTGGAATAGGACACCGCTGTGTCAGGTATAACATAAGCATAATACCAGAAGATAGTCACTGCCTTAGTAGATCTACCTTAAATACGAGCTTGGGTAACAGATCGAGATAGGGGGAGGGTATCAAGAAGACAGTATCATTCCAGCAGTGGAAACACAGCGGTGATGGTGTAACTCAACTCTTCTGGAGGGTTCACAAGGATGATTCTCCAAAGGAGAAGGAATTGGTTTTCCAGATACTTTCATTGGGTTCCCTCTGAGTTTTTGTAGCAATGCAAAAGAAATCATAAAGGTGCTTGTTTGCAAATGCAAGCAGTGGGTGCATGAGTGGACTAAAGCAGCTTGTGGTGGTTGTGGTAGTGATCTACCACAAGATACAGCTCTTACACTTTGGCTAGAAGGGAGAGGCTAGTGGTGGAGCTGGGGAACACATGATCAGTGACCTGCAAGGAAAACCACTTTTCTCAGCAGTGTTCTGAATCAGCGAGGCATGGCTGACCTTTCCTTTTGCTCTGAGCTGGCTGGGTTTTGTTGCTTTTCCCCCCATCACATGCATCCCAACAGTAAGAAAGAAACTTTTTCCTCGTCTCCCACCCCATCCCTGCCTTTGTAAATGGGACTGGTGCAAATTTTGGCACGCCAGCTCCAGTAGGCAGCTGTATGCAATGCGTACTGTGTCTTAACTGCTCTGAGAGTCCAGCCTATAGCCCACCCACAGTGAAATGCTTAACTGAGATTGAAACTAAATGGGAACATAGTTTATGGAAATTCAGCTGTGGATCGCCGTTTCTCTTGTGACTTCTAGCTGTCAGCACTTAGCTGTACAGCATCGCTAGCTATTTAGAGCTGGATGTTCCTCGTGGTGGTGGATACCCACCTCCTGTAGCTTATAAAGATGCTGAGAAAGTTGTTGGTGACTAATAAATCACTCTCCGTCTATAGTCTTGATTGGTAGTGCTTGTAAAGACTCCAGCTCTGGGTTAGGAGCGTATGCCCCTTCCTAGAAAAGGTCATGCCCTTATCAGTTCAAATTCAGTTCATAAATCTCCTGTTGTATGAAGGAGTGTGTTTCTTTTTAGAAGTTTTAGAGGGTATTCTTCCTCCCCCTTGGTGCTGCACTTGAAGTTGTTAGTAGTGACTAACAGCTTAACCCCAAACCGTTACTAATCCCACGAACCATGCATTCCCTGAGGATTTAGGAGTCCAGTTGTGATAGACAGCACCTCAGTTTTCTCCCCTGTAAAATGCAAATGGTGATGCTCTCTCCACTTGGTCATGGCTTTATGACTTGCTTCATTCCTGGGTAAAATTCAGCTCTGCGCAGTCAGCTAGTGTATATTGTGGGACACCACCCCCCTGCGTACTCCACAGTTCACAAAATACTTTTGGCTTCTGCTCTTTGAAGATGCTGGAATGACAAGGTAAAGGTGTGCTGTGGAAAGGGGAGTATTTCTGCACTTTCTTATCTACCCTTTCATTTCTTCCAGTCGCTGGCTTCTCTGTTGCCAAACTCCTGCGCCTTCTCTCCAGGATGATGTGCTATAGCACAGAGCAATAAGGGAGAAAGGGCTGTAGTTACCAATGGAGTAAGTGGAAAAGAGGCTTAGGCTGAAGGTAACTGCCATGGGTTGGGTCATCTCTCTCTTTAGCAGGCCCTTTCTAGGTTCAAAGGTTGACTGAGGCCACAGAAGAAAATAATTTCATGTCCTGATGGCCCCATGTCTTGATTTGCGTAACAGTGGTGCTCTGGGGTCTGTGGATGCCGTGTCTCCCTCGGGAGTCAGTATAATGCTTTGCATTACCTGTAACTTTCACTGATTATCTGGAAGTAAATATACAAATGGTGGCAGACAAATAATTGCTATTTGGTGAGACGCTATGTAAATGAAAAAGAAAGTGGAGCAACATAGATTTTGATATAGTCAAATGTGACGTTCGACATGGAGGCACAACAAATGCTGATCATACCTAGAGATGGCAAGGACTTAGGGGTTACAGAAAACCCAGGAACTGAAGGGTTTGCTGCTAGCAGAGAGAAGTGTAATGAGAAGCAATGGCTGGAGGCCAAAGCTTGACCCATGCAGACGAGTGGTGAGCCACTGAATTATAAGCAGAGAGACTGGGATAAACTAGTAGAGGAATGGGTGGATTTTTCAATTCTTGAAGTCTTAAATGCAAGTTACTGTGCTCCACCTGGGAGTGACTGGGTGAAATCAAATGACCTGTAACACACATGGATTCATATCAGATGATCTAACTGTTCTTGCTGGCCATAAATTCTCTTAAACTTCTAAAGCCATAAAGGTTGACTGCAGTGTTCCTGGTCTCTGTTCCTGGCTTAATCTGGTATGAACTAAATGGAGATTTTTTTTTAGCTCAAGGACCCTGTTTGTTAGCCACACCCTGAGGATGTCCCTGGCGTGGTTCTCAGATGTAAGACAACCTATTTCTATGCCAATCAATCCTGCTTTGTTCTTCCAGCTCCTCCCTTTTGGACTGTTTTCCTTGCTTTCGTTTGAGGGAATGGCTGATGCTGTGTGCTTCACCCTACTCCTTTTTCCGGGCCCAGGGCCCAGTTTTTGTTTAATTCTCTCTGAAGGTTACATGGTTTCATAGGTAATCTGTTGAGAGTTGGGGTATTTCATATGTCAATAAATGCATCTTTGAATGATGGATGGTGGAAGCCTGGGGCTGGAACTGCAGGAGTGTTTGTGGGCTGTGCCTGGAGGTGCACTGGAAGGACTGCATGGGAAAATCCACATAGCCCTGCTGTCTGCACCATGTCAGACAGAGCAGAGAAAGTGAATTTACTGGGTTCGTTTAAGGCCTGAGAAATAATTCCCTTAAATCTTTGGGAGCATCCTAGTAGGCGACACGCTTGTGGGAGGCTCCAGTTTACTATCTGTGAAGTTGTGGATTTTATATCCATATTAGGTATAAATAGAGGTAGGCTGGCAGATAGAGAGAAGGTCGTTGTGACTCCTCTGAGCACAGGATGAGCCTGTAATTATTTAACTGAGGTTTCAGTGTTAACTCTTATCATACATTGGAGCAGCCACCGAGGCAGTCCCTGTTACCAAAATTAAAACCAGAATGATGAAAAATTAGTCCAGTGCTAGCACAGATCACTCGGCTCCTTAAGAAAGCAGCGATAAGATGAGACTCCTGGCCAGTTTCTTTCAGTGCCTCATCAGCTGCAGTAGTGTTATCTGCTTCACAAACTCAAAAA